AAACGAAATTTATCTATTACAAAAGAAAATACTAATTCTAAACATATTCCACTATGACATCAATATCATTGCTTAATATTTTCAATTAAAATTATAAAGAAGTCAAAGTAAAAGCAAACCCAAGTTTTATTTCATTATTCTTAAATTAAAAATGATATATGATTTATTGGTTTAAAAATAACACTATAACAAAATATTTTACATACATGTATTAAAAATTAAAAGAAAAAAAAAACGAAAGTAGAAAACAAACCAAAGAAATGTTCACTTTAGAAAAAAAATTATTTGTTGAAAAAAAAAATCATGCTTTTGAAACATCATTAGACCCTCTTTTATTTAAAATAATAAAAAGTAGTATTGACTAATGGTCAAATTCTGTACTTAATAGCTGTAAAAATATTTTCTTTAATTTTGAAAAAAATTATTTGTTTTAACTGTACTATGCACATGGTAGGCGACAATAAGTACATGTTAGTGAAGGGACTGAAAAGTAAAGTTCATTTTTGCGAAAGAACTTCACTAGGAGTAAAAAAGTCTCCTAATAATCGCCTATTCCAGAAAATAGTTGCCTTTTTAGCCTTTTCAGGCAAAAAAAGTAGCCATATAGTAGCAAATAGTCGCATTTTAGTAGTCTGTGGCGACCCTGTAGCACTCTCATGTGCAACTCTGCTGCATTTTGTAAGATAATCTCAAATTCAGGCTTCCACCCTCTGAAATTCAAGCAAGAAATCTTTTCATGTTAGCTAATATTATCAAGAAAAGAATTGGTTGCCGGAAACTAGTTATTTTATCATAATCATGTAAAGTCTTTGAACATTATTTTGAATTTTGTTAATGTGTATAGTGCTTAAAAATATTTTTGAGTTCTTAAAAGGTGCTTATTTTTTGTTGAAAGATTTGGCTATACACCCTGGATAATGATTTAGACTTTCGTGAGGAAAACAGGCTGAAATACGAAGAAGAAAAAATACAGCATACTATTTCTTTATTTTGATTGCTGGTTCGGAAGACCACTGATAATTGTTTTATGGTAGTTTAAGTTTAATTTATGTATCATATAATTATGTGTATATAGTTTAATTTATATATTAATTAAGTCTAGGACAAGGAACTACTGTTAATGAATTAAAATATTACATATTAAGCATTTGTGGAGAAAAAAAATGTTAGGGTAATATTTTGGCCGAGGCTATGACATATCAAGTTATTGAAATATCTTATTAGAAATGTTTAGGTTATAAGTATATTTCATTAAAGTGACAGACAAACATTAAATTAAAAGTTCCAATTTCATTGGATTATTTCTGACGAAATATTTTAAAGTTAAGTGTCTTTCATGTACTAATGTAAAAGTAATAAAATCTAGTCTGAAATTTAATACTTTTTCAAGCATAAAACATAGGTTTTACACATGATTTCAAATCAGTGTCAAGTTTGCTAGGGTTAAAAAAAAGCCAGTACCAATACCAGAATTTATTTACTAGATTAAAAGCTTCATTAATTTCAAAAGAATTTTATAGTCTTAAAAAATTTAAAGCTTAAATTTTTAACTTTCAAAAAATAACATACGTATTGTTTGTGCTAGACTTCAAGATGGTATTGTAATAAAATCATGCAGATTTTTTTATTTAAACAGTGACAAATCATGTAGTAAAAACCACAGAGTTCATACTTATCCTTATTTTCCTGATAATAAATGTTTTGTCCTGGTTTTTAGCTTTTTGTCCTGACATTCCTGAATTTTGTGTGTGTTCAGGATATCCTGTTTCCTCTGATGCTCATTTTAAAAAAAAATTTAAAGAATCGAAATATTTGGCTTTTTGATCCAACATCCTTTTATTTGAATTTATATTGTTAATAGAAGTTGCCAACTACATAAGTTTCAATTTATGGCCTGTCTACTATTTAGAGTTTAGATTCATCACACCTATTAGATTCATTGTTTCAACCTTTTTTGGCATTCAGGAAGAGAATGAAATTCTATTTTTAAGTTAATTTTCATGGATGATATTTTTCCGTTTGTTAGCGGATTTCTGCTTTTTTCACTTTTGTCTCTCAAATTTCAGCCTTTTAACAGAAAACTCAGATTCTCTAAAAGTTTTGCTTTTTTTTTTATAAATACTATAAATATAGAACCAACATTTTTCATAAATAAACATGGGAATACTTTTGATTTGAAACTTTTATAGGTTACATTCTGGTGAAATTACACAGGAAACTGATAAAAATTTCTGTACTAAACTGAGCCATTCTGAATTTAAAAAATAGTATTTTTTATTATTTCACCTACTTGATTATATAATTGTGTCTAATCACTTGATTGTGCATGGCGTGTTAACGTTACAGTTCTATGGCTTCAGTTTATTATAATACTGAATAAATTTTCGGATCAGATTTAATTAATTGGATAGCAAGTGACTATTGAAACCTGTTTGGCTGACTTACTAGCAGGGTTGTCACAGGCAACTGATTGCTACTAATTTCGGCCTGAGGTATGGCAACTTTTTTTTTTCTTAAAAGGTTAAAAAAAAGTTTCTATTTTCAGGAAAAGGAGACTCCTAGCTATGTTTTTTTTTTTTTTAGCATAAATAGGGTTTACAACCTACAGCCTGTGGGACCTTCTAAACACAATGAATTTTTACTTCAAAAGTCTTTTTGCAAATTTGAGTCATCACTTTTTAATGCTCTCAATTTGCTCAGATTCTATTGTAAGTCTATTTTGTTTCTTGATCACTTTTTCAACGGTTACTGCACAAAATTCTGCAGGATTTTAAAAAATCCTATTTTTAATACAATATTATTATGATTGTGTGAATTTCGAATTTAAGTAATCACATTTCACAATATATTGCTGGTTCAAAACTAAAACGACACTTCTGCACTCCTCGTGTTATTTCAATAAGAAGTTAATGCAGAAGTGTCGTTTTAGTTTTGAACCTGCAATATATTGTGAAATGTGATTACTTAATATTTTTATACATGCATATACATGCATATTATTTATGTTCAGGGTAAATTTGCTACCCTTTAGTGGTACCTTCGCAAATTTAACTTTAGGAAAAATAGTGGTTTCACAAAATAATTTTGTAATGTTCTCATAGTGAAAATAACTTTCAGCGCTAGTACTGTTAAAGCATTTTTTTTTTATTAAATTCAAGTTAGAATTTAACTATGGACAATGATTTTTATGGATTTTTAAATTTTGATAATTTTTCACAAAATAGGTACCTCTTGAAAAATGTAGACATACCCCTGATATGAATATATATGTGTGTTTGTATATATATATATAATCTAGTCATTAAAAGTATTTAATTTTCTGCAAATATACAAATTTATCTAATATAAAAATTTAGTGCTGGAACACTTATATAAAAATTTTATATTTGCCACCAACTTAACTAAATGGATTGTTATTTGAACATCAAGACATCTAAAAAAAATTTTTAGTCATATTATTGAATAATTTTTATTATTTTAGGCAACTATTTTTGTAGTTTTCAGCAACTATTTTCATGCTTTAGGCTACTAAAACCAACTATTTTGTTCTTTTTATTTTACTGTGGCAACCCTGCACTGTAGCTTACGGGTATCCATTTGGGTAGAGTTAAATATATTTAGTTTCAATTTGCCTTTTTTAAAAGTAGTCTGGTATTCAGGGGTGTAGTGTTGGGAGATCACTGCACAAGGTTGTAAAAAACCTGGGTTTTCCAGAAAACCCCAACCCGAATGGGCTTTATTATTCTTTTCTTGGTTTTTCATGTTTTATTGTTTTTTTTTTTAAAAAAAAAGAGAGGGTAGGGATAGGTACCTTATTTTAAAAAAGCTTATATTAATAATTTAGTTTAATTTTATGGATTGACTTAACCCCGTAACTGACTTATATAGGTAATTTAATATAATTAATATAAATAAATTGTCTGAAAAAAGGTTTCTTCTGACATCACGATACAAAATGTTATATGTACTCACATACATCACACATTTGAAACTTAATTTAACACAGGATTACTTTTTATTTATATTTTAATATTAAAACATATTTGAGGAATTTTTTCTTTGCATAGAAAGCAAATCAAAGCTCTGCCTAATCAATGGCCACGCAGTGAAATCTAGATTGTATTATAACCTGATCGATTTATAATGTATTTCCTCTGTCTGTGTTTATTTTGAATTAAAATCCATATGAAATAACTTTTATTGTAGTGTGATTTATACTCAAATTATTCTGGGTTTTTTTTTTTTTATATATATATATATATGTGTGTGTGTGTGAAACGTATACATTTTTCTTCGGGAATCCCACAAATAATTTTTCTTTTCAGATTGTTGTTAGCTTTTTCACCATAGGTTAATTTTTTTAGGCTAGACTACATATATATTTCAATAGAATAGCTCTTTAATATAACAGAGGATATGAGAGAAATCAATTTTAGAAAAACCCACTTTAGGTTGGGTTTTTCAAAGTGTTTTTTTACACAGTAAAACCTGCTAGGGTTTTTTCTAGCTAGGTGGGTTTTTTGCAACCCCTGTCACTGTGACCTAAAATTTTTCACTTTTCAGCAATTTTTGCTTGGCTATTTGGCCTATTTTCAAAAATTCATTTACCCTTAGTTATTTAAGCGCAAATGAAATAATGATTAACGCTTTTTTACTTTGTTTAAAATTCTAATTTATTTGGAGTATTTAAATTGTAAAGCTCNTTTTCAAAAGAGAGGGCAGGGATAGGTACCTTATTTTAAAAAAGCTTATATTAATAATTTAGTTTAATTTTATGGATTGACTTAACCCCGTAACTGCCTGATTTCTCTGAAAAAAAATTTTTCTTTGTCCCACTGTGAAGCTTTTATTTTAAGAAATATTCTGGTAAATTCTGTTGTTCCTTGTTTTATGACAAAAGTTTTATTTTTCTTTGATTTCATAGGAATGCTCTTTGAAAAGAGTAAGGTATAATGAATAACTTACCTGTACTTATGAATCGTTTATAATGAATAACTTACCTCTGCATATATTTTTCCTCTTTCATTCATTCCTAAATAAAGATGTGATTTCTTTCCTTTTATTTGAACCTCTCCTGCTTTTCTGGAATGGAATTGTAAAATTGCTGTAGAAAGAAATAAAACTTTTTAGCATTTACACTTAAATGGCAAAGTTTGTTGCATAAATATGGCAACACTGGTAAATCTATATTTTTACTGTTGTAAACCATTAAAGTTTACAAAATCTTTTAATTATTGTTTAGGATTTTTAAATATAGAGCATACATTTCAACCAATTTTTAAAAATCTTTATTTATTTGAGAAAATTTTATGTTTACATTTCTATTTAGAAATCATCCATTTATATAGCATGTCTATGTATTGTTCTTCAATGTATTTATGTCTAAAAGTTATATATTTCGTTCATTACTTTTTAGGCTTTAAATTTAAAAAATGGTATTTCAAAGGCAATTGAATGTAAGATTTCTCTTTCTACCACTGTTTATGAACTTTTTTAAAGTTGGCCTGTTAAAGCTTTCAAGTGAAAAGGATCTGAAAAATTTGCATTCATAATTTGAACTGTTTCTAAACTTTTATGCGCAACTGGGCGACCCACAATACTGAGGCAAAACTTACAATTGTTTTTTATTGATATGAAACTTCCGTTCAACCGAACTTAATAAATAAAATCTGTTGCAAGTTTATGTCTGGGGAAACTTTTTTGTGTGCATTAAATTTTTTGGTCTGAAGGCAAATTCTTTGAACTTATAAATTTGTGACAAATAAAAGAAAAGTTATGGATTAGATGAATTATGAAGTACTGACTTTTAAATTTAAAAAATTCCTTTCGAAGTTTTTGTTAATCCTAAGGCATTTTGTACTTTGAGGAAGAAGTTTTCTCCAGCCTTGGATGTAGTTTTCATCTTCCTCTGCAGCACCACAGTTTTCGTGAGCCTTGCATAGACTCGCATCATGGAAGTGGGCAAAGGCAAGTAGCAGAGGTTATGGGAACATAAAAGGATCAATATTAGTTCTATTATTATATATTCTAATAATTTTATTGTACAGTGTTCTCCCTAAGCTTTTTTTAAGGGCAGCCTGCTTTTTTTATTCATATTCTATTTCGAAAAAAATTTATTCACCGTTTAAATAGTTACACCCTGATAAAATTATCTGTGTTTATTATAGGTTTAATACAGATTAGTATTACAAATATTTACTTTGTTGGGTTTATTTTCGACTGGTTAAATTTAAAGTAGCTACTGGTTAAATCTCTGAAAAAGTGTGTTTCGGGGAGATGTTTATAAATTTTTAAGCAAATACCTTCTCTTTTTTTTTTTTTGTAAGAAAATTGTAAACTTCAAATTCTTCTCTTGTTTTGATAATGAGGGAAAATTACTTTTTAAAATATACACATAGTATTAGTATAAGAGGGTAATTTAAAAGATTTTTGAGAATAAACTTCAGTTATGAAATAATATTACACATTTTGATAAATTTATACTGTGTTATGTGAGTGTCTTTTACCTTTCTTTATTCCTACAGAGGTATTATATAGCTGGTTTTTTTAATATTATCATTCGTTTACTTTCGATTGAAATCTTTTTTAATTGCAATAACACACAAGAAAGATCGAGAATAATACTTCTGATAGTATTCTCAGAAGCTGTTTAACATTATTCTTGAAGTTAAAATGAAAGTTAATCAAGTTAAAATGAGGGAAGCGGATTTTCTTAAGGTGATGCATCATTTTTCTCTCAATTTTTATTATTTTATTTATTGTGTATATATTATAAAACAGCAGTTAAACAATCGACTTAATTTACGACTACCAATGTACTCCATAGCCTTTTCATTTTGAACTCAATTTAAAAGACAAGGGAAATCTTTGATCAAATATCGTGATAGAACTAACCTGTATTTATGTTACATGGAGAGGGAAACCACCCACAGTTAGCCCGATGGAAAGCAGACTCTAGTTCGCCTACCATTGAGGATATTTTTCGTGGGGCGGGGAATTCGTATCGTCCAGTCATCGTTTGGAGTCGAACCCGGGCCACCTTGTTGGAAAGCGAACGCAACGCTCTATCCCCTAAGCCAGTGTTTCCCAAAGTGTGGTACGCGTACCCCCCAGGGGTACGGGAACAGTTTAGCTAGGGTACGCGTTCTAATGCGAAATATCTGGCAACATATGAGAATTTAAAAAAAATTTATTTAAAAACAAAACTAGCCATGAAAATTTACGATTACGTATTTTTCTATTGGCTATTTTTTGCAGAGTTAACAGTTAATAATTAGTGATGTCAACAGCCAGTTGTGATTTTTAACTTTTTTTTTTAATAGTAAAAAATACATTCATTTTTTTATTGGGGGTATACAGCGTTACGAAAAATTTAGAAAGGGTACACAAAATTCATAAGTTTGGGAAGCACTGCCCAAAGCCAGTGTTTCCCAAAGTGTGGTACTTGCAGAGTTAACAGTTAATAATTAGTGGTGTCAACAGCCAGTTGTGATTTTTAACTTTTGTGCAATTTTTTTATGGTAAAAAATACATTCATTTTTTTATTTGTGGTACACAAAAGTCATAAGTTAGGGAAACACTGCCCTAAGCCAACACAACTCTAATAGTTACTCACTGAAATGGCGGTCCACAAGCTGACTTCTGCTATAAGCCCCACCGGAACTTCTAAAAATATATATTTTTTTAAAAATAAATTTTGAAAATATTAAACCGCTCATTTGTATCATCACTTTACATTATTTGCTATTTCTAATTATTTTACCTGTTTTTAAAAGGTTAATTAAAAACGTGTATTAGAACTTACAGATTAAAAAAAGAAGGAAAAACCTTCCCCTTTCGATTAATGTTCTTTTACAGGCGTCAAAAAGTAGTTTTGGCTTATGACAATAAAGAAAGAAAAAAAAAAATTTATTACTTTTTATTTTTGGCTAGCTTTTATTCGTAGGTTAATGCCTACTTACCAAAACAATTAGTTTTTGTCACTTTTTCTGACACAAAAATGTCAATTACAATGTCAATGCCAAATAACAAAAAGGCCAATTTAAAATTTATTTTTATTTACTTTCTTGAAATTTGAATTCACAGTTATTCTGACAATAGTCTTTGCAGAAATGTGCAACTCATTGAATGCAATACGTTGAACACGCATAACATCCTCATTTCTGATCCGATAACCTTATAAAGCAATAAATTGTTCTCCCGGTCAAATGACCGGTTGTGGTAGAAATTGGTATACGACACGTATTATTCGAAACAAACTAAATACAATAATAATAGATTATTAACTGTATATAATTGTTAGAAATAGTCGTGAAATCAAATGTGCAAAAACGATAAGATGAGAAGCGCGTTTTTGATGACTAAGTTCTTAAATGGTCATTTGCCCGGTTATGATATGTTTAGTGTTAAATAACATTTCATTAGTAACGTTCACTGCAACCGAGTTCATTATAGTGTGGGGGGGGGGGCAGAAGTATTAAATTTTGTATAGTCCCCTGGCATAATCGTTGGAAGTACCTATGTTTTTTCTTATCTGCAGAATTTTTATAAACATTTCTTTTTCTGCAGAATTCAAAAAATGCCTTTCTCGCATATCCCAGGTGGCATAAACGCTCATGATTTTTTTTTTTTTTTTTTTTTTTTTTTTTTTTTTTTNTTTTTTTCCGTCTACTTTCTTCAGGGCCCCGTGGCAAAACAGCAGCGACACGGCGATATTGTCGCAGAACGTTACAGATATTCGTTCCAGAAAGATTTTTCTTTGGAAAAGTGAAAAATTTCAAGTTTTTTTTCTGCATAAATTTACACATATTTGTATCATGCATTTAGATAATCACTTCTTGACCTGCTCCATTTGCGCCGATTTTATCTTAAATCGATGTAATTTTTCGATTGTATTTTCGGCAGTTATTGATATTAATTTTCTCTTGGAGTTTAAATATACAAATCGTGCATTTGAGTACTTTTTAAGGCTATAATTCTATCGAATTTTTGACTGTTATTGATTTTTCCATAGTTTTTAAATCCGATATTTTTTGTTACAATAATTTAATCTCGAAACGAAACACGCATTTGAGGAGTCGATTTGCGTGATTTCGTCGTCGATCTTTTTTTCAGCTATTACAACCATGGATTTCATGATTTTTAATTACTTTTTTTTTATTGTGATGATTATTTACAAAATTTACTTATTTGAAAAAGCGCACAAATAATTTGTGCGTTTTTCACACAATAAAATGCGAGAATATCATTCATAATATTAAAATAAAAAATGATTACTTATTCAATTTAAAAAAGTTATATAATCTTTTCTGCAAACACAGCGTATTTGTTACTTTCAATTAGTAACATGCATGTTTGTTATAATTAAAAGTATCTTGCAGAAAGATATTTGTGCTAGAGAAATTAGTCGCAGATAGCTCGAAAAAATTCTGCTACAGGGCTTCAGGGAATTAAAAAAAAAAAAGCTAAAATTACAGATGGATATTATGAAAAGTAACTCCCAAATAGTAAACATTAAAAAAGAAAAATTTGAAGTATACACATATTTTTTTAGAACAGGAGGTTATCTCCGAATGTATTCTTTTATATTTAGATTTAAAGAAAAAAATTATTAAATTTATAATTAAAAAATATTATATACGTGAAGGTGAACAGAATGGGTAACATATATATTTGCTATTATTAAACAATGTCTTTCAGAAAGGTACTAGAGAACAGATCACGGGGATGAGTTATTGCATAATCGAGATTTACCTTCTTCGTTATAAGGTTCCCTTGTGCCATAAACTCCTCCTTCACTGTCAATGACGAGGTTGTAACCTGTGCCGCTGTGCAATTGTTTTTCAGGACCCACGTGACTCGGTATGCCTCTATCCACTTCAACTCGTGAGTTTTTTTGATCTGCGGAGGAGGCCATCTTGCGATGTTGATGATGCCCAAGAGCAGTGGGATCCTAAGAGACGAGAGAGAAGAGGCATGACGGGTAAATATAGGTTTGTATGTAGGCGCGGTCAGCCAGTGGCGCCGGGATTTTTTATTGTTCTCCATCCCTATAAAATGTCAAGACTTCATTCATTGATTTTTAAGAAATGTTCTCTATTATAAGGAGTGATTTTTTTTTTTGCTAGTAGTCTGCGTAAATTTTATGTCTCCTTACAGTTTTTATCAGGAGTTAAATTTTGTTCAGATAAATTTATCTTGTTGATGGTAGGATACCAATGTTCGAAATTCCATATCTAATTATATATATGTGTGTGTGTGTTTGTTTGTTTGTACACACGCATATATGGATGTATTCGTCATCTCTGAAACTATTATGATGCGAAAAGTGATTCTATTGTTATACTTGGAAATACAGATGTAAAATACCAGAGTTTGTATATAAATTTTCCAAAGTAATAATTTGTTCAAATGGATTCGAAGTATAAAAAATAATTTTTCATGTAATAAGTTTTCAAAAATCAGAAGATCAACAAAAATGAATATCCATAATGTATACATTAGAGATTAAGATAAAAATTTTATTTTCAAGTCAAACGACGAGACCACTGGCAATATGTAAATTCACAAAAGTTAGGTTTGTTATATGATGAACAATAAATGAAAAATATCTATGACAGAAACAGGCCTCCTTGTGGTTCAAATAGAAAATCAGGAGAAAATAATACAAAAAAAGAAAGAAAAAAAAAAGTACACAAAATGAAGACAATTTTAGGATAGAATGTTCTTTAAAAAAATAGTAAACGGAAAAATTTTTTGTAATTTATAGTCTGCTTTAGGAACCATTTTTTTTTTTTTTTTTCTTAACCTCGTCATGACTGATAAACTAAACTTTTGTTCCAAAAATTTACTAAACTTTTTATTTTATTTCAGAATTCTCTTCAAAATAAAATTTAAAAAATTTGTTCCAATCAAATTTTAACGAATAGAGCACTGAAAAACTCCCATTATTTTGCGGTCACCAAACTTAAACATTTTTTTTATTTTTTTATTTAGCATAAGAACTGATGCTTTAAATAATTTAACTTGATTATAGTTTCAACATCTGCATATTTAAGAATAAATTTTTAGAAAACTTTAACAAAAATACATTTAACCTTTTATTATTTAAGATCATAACTTTGGTACTCATTTCTTAAAATAAAATTTATTGCCACAAGTATAATACAAGGTTGGATGATGGAAAGAAAAAAAAAAATAATAAGTCATATAAGCAAGCCATTACAATTGCAAATAAGCTAAATTTTATTGTTTTTTCTTTAGTACTGTATTCTCTTCAACTAGCATTAAAACTTCAACACGTTAATCACTAACGACACATTGCAAAAACATAAGTTTTTACGAGATGCAAGGGGGAAAAATTAAATGGCTTTTAACCTCGCTGATCTACACTAAATGTTGATCTTAATATAGTGGCGTAGTTTTGGGGGACAAAACCCCCTCCAAAATTATACATTGTTTGATTAGTGAACTATTCCGGTCGTTAAGATGTAGACGTAAAAAAAAAATTCAGTATTCATTTTTTTCTTAATTTAAACATTTGGAATATATATGCGTAGCTGCAAACGTCTACAGCCGTTGAGAAAAAAAACTTCTGAGTAGTAGCAATATTATAGCAGTTTGTTGTATTAAATCTTCGATTTAAAGTTTCAAAAAAAAAAAAAACATTTAAACCTACAACGACACATCAATAATTGAAAAATATATAAATATTATCTATTTGTTAGCTTACTTAGCTCTTCAATGTTTAATCGTTAAAATATCTTTCAAACTTTACTTGTTCATTTATTACCACTTAGTAAAATCTTTTCCAGCCACCGTACAAGTAGGCAGGTATATACATATGCATATGTCACGGACAATGTAAATAATTGGGCATTGTTTATAATGCCCGGGCAATTTAAAAAGTGCCCAAAAGGATATGACAAAATGATAAATTATGTTGCAATTATTACATTGCCCGGTCATTATGTATAATGCTAAAAGTCAAGTGGGCAATTTGTGTCACACACAGCCACAGGGTGTCTTGGGATATTCATCCACTTTTAGATGCACCTGGATACTTTTTTAAAAATTTTTTCCCGCACATGCGCTGTATAAAGCAACTACTTCAATTACTCTTATCTGGCGCAGTTTTTATTATTTTTTTTTAATTTTAAAGCAATAATTTCGGTATCAGTTCAAAATTGATTCAAACGCTTTGTTTAATTTTTTTTAAACATTTAAGTTATAGCAAAAGTGGCACTAGACCTAGTATATATTTCGGACATTTACCAAAGGTCTAGTCACACTAGGTCTGGTTAAGTGCCATTGCCCGGTATATCCTACACTGATGTTTTTTTAAGGTCAAGTGCCACTGCCCGGTATACATTTGCCCGGTATACCCTACACTGATGTTTTTTTAAGGTCAAGTGCCACTGCCCGGTATACCCTACACTGATGTTTTTTTAAGGTCAAGTGCCACTGCCCGGTATACCCTACACTGATGTTTTTTTAAGGTCAAGTGCCACTGCCCGGTATACCCTACACTGATGTTTTTTTAAGGTCAAGTGCCACTGCCCGGTATACCCTACACTGATGTTTTTTTAAGGTCAAGTGCCACTGCCCGGTGTACCCTACACTGATGTTTTTTTAAGGTCAAGTGCCATTGCCCGGTATATATTTGCCCGATTCTCCAAACACTGATGTTTCTTCTAATCTATCGTCAGTAAGTATTAAAATATCGAATAAATGTAATTATATCCACGAATATATTAGTATCAAATTGGATGTAATAAATATTTCGGACATTCACCAAAGCGACTAATTTGATTGTCAACATTCACCGGTGAACATTGGCCAGCCAGAATCACACCACACGCACGTGGTTGTCCCATTGCTGTCAATTAATCAGAGTGCCCAAAGAAATAATAGCGGTATTTATAATGACCGGGCAATGTGAGAAATTATCGTAAAGTAATTCAAGTTTATCAAATTGCCCAATTTTAATGGTCATTATTCATAATAACTAAGAATTATGAATACTGACCAAATAATTACATTGCCCGTAACATATATATAATGTCGGAAGGCGTAGCCTCCTCCAAGCATACAATAAAACTACGTAAAACGCTTTTAAAGTAAAGTAAGCCGCAGAATTTCCAGACACAACAGAGGTATTTTTCTCACAGGAATTAAGACTACTTAGCTGCCTGCCTACATATATGTTTGCTAAATAAACATTTAGGGTTAAGATTGTTAGAACGAAACAAAATGTTTGTCACTTTTCTGTATTGATACCAGAAATTTTAAAAAAAGAAGAAAAAACTTCCTTTACTTCTCTCTTTTCTTTTTTTTTTTTTTAGTAACATTGTTCACTTAAATCAAACATGGAAAAAAAAAAAATTTAAATTGCAACAGCGGAAGGCTTGTAATTTTTAACTTGTTAGGAACATAGTTTTTGTACATTTAATATTCGCATTTTTTCATGGGATATGCCGTGCTCGTTATATTAAGTATTATCGGAGTCAATAATAATGTTCTTATACCCCCCCCCCCCCAAAAAAAAAGAGGCCGAAATAATTTTTATGAAGAAATTTTAGACCCTAGCGAAAATTCTTAAGTGATCCTATATTGTTCTGCAATGTTTAGTTGGACACTATTTTAACAATGTTCCAAATTCTTATTTCAATACTGCCTTAATGACTGCTATTAAGATGTTTTCAGAAATAGCAAAAAAAAAAAATTTTTTTTATTATAGATATTTGAGGAATTCTGATCGGTTTTGGAAAAAAGAATTGTCCCCCCATAGTGTGCTTCTTTAAAAAATCAGCTTTGCTATTTTTTACTCGCTTTGTTCACTTTTATTTGTTTAATTTTAATTCTGTTTTTTTCCCCCTATTAATATAGTTATCCTTGTGTGTGCTTTTTTTCCCCCATTGTTTTTCGTCTATTTTTGTTTATATCGTACTTAACATATATATTTTGAATGTTATACTTTTCGAATGAGAAAAAAAAAAAAAAATTTTGGGCACTAATGCTAGATGTAATTTATCCTGAATCTCAGATATTTGCCACACATTAGAATGCACCTGTTTTTTGTTGCAAACTTTATTGTCCCTTTTTTCTGCAATTTTAGAAAGATAAAATTGTCAATTTAAAAAAAAATTAATTACTTTTAATGGTAATATTTTTTTCTTTCTTTTTTTTGACAATGCCCGTAGAACATAAATTATGTATTCTGACCCGGGGGTGTACTGCATATTATTTTTAGGCTAAATTAAATATTGCCGCTTTTTCGAGTAGCTAAATCGGTTGCCTTTTATTTCCCTATTTTAGACACATATAACCCGTCTCCTTTTTTTTTTTTTTTTCTTTTAATTTGTATGGAGATTTCTATGTAATAATTTTATTATTTTTCTCCCTATTCAGTTTTGCGAGCAGCCATAGTTACGAATATTAAATATTTATATTCTATGCCCTTGCACAGGTAGGGAAAGAAAACTATTATTAGGCTCCCGTATGTCGGATGCCCGGATGAGAAGTGACGAAATGGCGCTGCTGTCGTTTAGCCATTGTTTGCTTTAAGGAATCGGTGCGGCGGTCGGTGTTATTCACTAAATCATGGACTTGGAATTAAAATTTGAAATCTTTATCTAAAGCTATTAGAGGTGGAGTTTTTCAAATTTATGTGGAAATTCTGTGTTAGGAGGACTAGAAATTAAACGTTGAATTTACCTTAGTTGTAATGGGTATGTTATAGAATGCTGCCGGCCTTGTAAGTAAATGCCTTCTAATGATAATTAATGCAAATGTTATCTGTGAAGTGTATTGTATACAATGTCTATCAAAACTTTTATTTGCCTCAAAATAATATTACTTGAGTAAAAACGTGATTGGCTTCAGCAGAAACTGCATGTTTAAGCGCACAAAAATAGTTCCCAAAAGTCTCATGAGATTATTTATTTAATAATAGTTAAGATATATGATCCAGTTCTCGTATCAGTTAACTTCCAGATCAGTCGTGAATCACAAGCTAGTATTAGTTGAAACATTAATTTTATGAAAAAAGAATTCCTTATTGTTATATTATTTATAAAAATTATGTTTACTTATTAATTTTTTTCTTCTTAGACTTATAGCTAGTTTGATAGTTTAAATTATGAAATTTTACTCCTAATAGAGTAAACTGCTTAATAATATACTAATTCGTCATTACTTAATAAAAATTAAACTCTTATTTTATTTAGAATATTTCATTTAAAACTTTTTTTTAGAATTTTCTATTTTTAAAGTTGATTTTTCTATTTGATTAAATTGAATGGATAGATTAAATTAGTTATCTTTTGTGATCAGCCATATTGAGCCTTTATTGTTATTCAAAAATATGTTGCAACTCTCTCTCTCTCTCTTAAATGAATATAAAAATGCAAATAAAATTTTGTTTATGTATTGAAGTTAATATAATGTCAATCATGTGCAGAAAATAGAGCCGTATTTAAAAAATTTGTAATTATCATGATCGTAACTAAGGTTTGAAATTTAGCTTTTTCTGTTTAAATAATAATAAACTGCATTCTTTAATGTTGACAGTTATGAAAATTCAAAACTTCATTATTGTTCGCAGGGGTCTGTCCAGGCCGAATTTACTACCGTTTAGCGGTACCTTCACAAATTCAACTTTAGGAAAAACGGTAGTTTCACAAATTCAATTTTAGGAGAAACGGTAGTTTCACAAAATACTTTTTCTTAAAATTTAAGAAACCATAAGTCCATATTTTTGTGTTGATTTTTTAACATAATTTTTAATTTTTCACAAATGATATCTAAATTTTCACAAAATAGGTACCTCTCAGAAAACCCTAGACAGACCCCTGGTTCAAGTATGCCTCTGAGATATATTAATTTTTTTGATTGTATCACACACCCAAAGAATAGTAATATGTTGTAATATCCAAAGTATGCAGAAAACTAAGTTTGTTTTATGCTACTCAATTGAATGGCTTTTTATGTGTAAGCTTGATATTAAGAGGTTTTGTGAAAAAATATATATTGTATTACAGCATGATAAGTTAAAAAGATCCATAGGATATACTTACGAATGTTTGTTTATGTCCTTTCATTTCTTTCAATTTTTTAAAATTTTTAGATCTCTCTATAAAATATATGTGTTAAACACTGAAACACAACTATAATATATTTAAGTAAGGTAGGTGTAATTTATACACACTACTCCCACCCTTTCTGAACACCAACCTTAAAATCGAACGCCATTTCTTGTTAATATTGTCGAAATATTTTAAATATCCTTGAAATTTTATTTTATATGTAGGCTTACGGCTTGGATTACTTTAAATTGAACTTTATATTTCAAAAAGTGCGTTCTAATTTACTTCGCTAAGTAAACGTTTCTTATCCCTTTATTTTATTTTATTTTTTATTTTTTTTGGAGAAGCTGCCTAATTCTTGTTGTGATTTTAAAAGAGTCGATAAGCTTCTTTGAGGAATTCATAGCTTTAAAATTTCAAACTATAAAGATGTCCCTTAAATTAATTAAATCTTCGGTATTTGAATGTTATTGAACCCCCGGAGGCAGTTGAAACAAGAGCGAATTGCTTTCATTACTTTGTTATTATCGAATAGAGGTATTCTAAAATTAAAATTGCTTAATATATGTATATAATACGCCCAGGAAGGTAGGATATTTTAATTTCTACTCAATGAATTTTTTGAATAAAAGGAAATTTTGAATTGCATCAACTTACTTGCTTCATTTGGACCAAATCCATTGCGTATTCAACAACATCGACTGCACAATAATCGTTCTCTCGCATTCTGACGATTTCAACGAATGAAATGTTTCTGCCGACTATAAATTTTGTCTCCTATTTGTTCTCATTTTTTTTCCCTCCAGCAATTGTAAAAAAGGGGTTTGTCAATGTGTGGTTTTAAAAATGTAGCTTGTTATATTGCTTCCTGTCATGACGTTTGCCTTCTCGGAATTGAATTAGTTGGCTGAGAAAATATTTTAAACATCTGGCCTCTTTGTCATCTCTAGATCATGCCAAGCTTGGCGGGTTTTTTTCCCCCTCCCCATTCATTTTAAAAACATATTTGGAAGAAAAGTTTCATTATTATTTAGTGCTATTGAAGGATCAATGGTATTATCAAACATTTTATCGATTCTGTCATGCGTGATTTAATACGGTAAGTTATATTCTTTCATTAAGTGCTTGGCCGTTTGTTTCTCTTAAAAGGTATAGAATGGGATATTTATTTTTTTATGCTTTTGTCGCAGCGCTCGTGAAAATTTAAAAAGGAAAAAACAAAAACTTACTTTCGTATAAACGTTGAGAACAGTTTGTTTTCTTCAACAAGATGTATTTAAATAGTGTAAACAAATTCTTGTAAAAATATCAGATTGTCTCAGGTATGGGAATGCTTATAAAATATCCTTAAAATTAAAATGAGTACGCCATGATCCTTACCATTAAAATTCGAAATCTTTGAATTATTTTACAAATAATAATAATAAAGCGTAGGAACGTGCTGTTTTATTTGCTTGACTGATTCTTATGTTTCACAGCTTCTGATGTTCGCTGTTTATTTATTTATTTATTTTAATGGCTATATAATCAACCATTTAAACAGTTCCGTCTTCGTTACTTAAAACTGATCTTTTTTATGTAGTTAATAAAATATTAAAATGATAACTCACGTGATTACATTCTAGGTGTGACGTTTTTTAAGATTATTCTTCTTGGTGTTCAATTCGGGAATAGGAGGAACAACTTGCTATCTTTACTTAGGGCGAAGGGGAGAGGAGGAGGTCATAAACGTCATCACTTTTAAAATCATTTCGCCTCTATCAGCTGCTGTACACATATTGATTCAACCTGAGTCTCTCCAAGCAATCTTATTCATTTTATGAATGATAAAGAGATCCTTTTAGATTGTTGGATTCCATAGTTTGGAAGCTTCAGTTAACTAAAATGACGTCATGATTTCTTTTTTGATTTATAATAGTTCTTCAGTTATAAATATTACATATCAGTACCATTGAAAATAATTTTCAATTAGTCTTATACTAAAAAGAAATATTCAAAAGTTTTTAATAAAAAGTCTCGCTTAGTTTTTTTTTTTTTTTTTTATGTGCAAATTTAATCATTTATTGCATTTTTTATTCTAATTTAAAAGAACTTTTTACTCTACAGTTAGTAAAATGTTCCAAAAGTAAATTTTCTTCAAAAATGTTTGAATGGTGCTTAATAGTTCTATTATTACTATTTAATTATTTTTCATAGCAACTTTTCATTTTTAAAATTAAAAATGTGTTCAATTTGCTCTATGACTTGGTTACTTATTTTATATTTAAAAAAATTTAGTTGTTATTTTAGTATGTAATTTTTTGTAATAACAGTTCTTGGGCGAAATTTCAGTTAAACTACAGTTTAGTTAAGCGGGGGGGAAAAAGGGCGATAAGATGCCAAATATTCAAAGAAAAACTGGATAAAGTAAGTGGGAAGTAGTTCAACGATGACAAAACGCCCTTTTTCTGCCCACCAGTTGCACTCATCTAAAATAACAATATTCCACTTAAAAAAAAGTAATTTTTTTTCTATTCTATTTTTTAAGAAAATTGTGTGCGCAAGTGCCTGATGCAACTTCAGAAAAATGTTATTCTATTCGCTGTTTTGGGTAAAAACGTGTTTCTTGACCCAATGCAGACAATCTAAAATACAACGGGTATCTATACAGCCGCTGTCTTCCTTGTTTTACTGCGCTGAAATTACAGAAATATGTGTGAGGTGAAATAAAAGAGCACTTGAGTACGAGAATTATTAATTAAAAACAATACTATGCTCTTGTCTCCCAGTGTTTTTAAATGTAATAATATTAATAAGCATTCAAAAAAAAAATTTTTTTTTTTTTTTACTGTAATAATTGGCGGGGTATTTTTTTATATTTCAAAATCAGTAGAAAATTTTCCTAATATTAATAAATACTACTTTTTTTATTTTATAATTGTCGTTGGACAGCCGACCCAATTATGACCAGGGAACTCCTGGATCAAGTATTGAGAGAAATTTGCCCTTATGGAGGACTTTTCAATGGAACTAACCCGCATTTGCGTTACATGTAGAGGAAAACCTCCCATGGTCAGCCTGACGGTAAGGGGACTCTATCTAACCCGCCTGCCACTGAGGATATTTCACGTCAGCACTGTGGTCGGTGCAAGCCGGATGTGGAATTCGTATTGCCGGGATTCGGCAATGCGAATTCCATTATATATATATAATGGAATATATATATAATATATATTGAATATATACTATATATTGATATATATAATATATATATTATAATTATATGTATGTATATGTGTGTGTGTATTATGTAATGTTTGAAGAATTATATATTAAATATAATCATATCTGACGCTCAATCGTTTAAAACCTTTTCTATAAAGAAAGTAATGTGATGTAGCTTGATCAGTCCCTCGTTTCTAAGACCTGTTAATATATTGTCCAGAAAGATATAAAAATCCTCTTCTATCCACCAGCATGTATAATGTTCTCATTTTTGGACTCTTTATTATTTCCCCGTGTATCTTTATCAATAAACACCGGCGGACACCCTACGAATTTACAACGTTAATTCTTTCAAAGCTGCAACATTAAATCTGCTTTTTAAAAAGGAAAAATATTTCTCTCTAGTGGAGATCTGTAAATTTTTTCCACCCTTCTTTTTAACTGTTCAGCTTTCTATCTAGTTATGCATTTTAAAGTGACTTTCATTTGCCTGTTTTGTGTCTTATAGACTAATTTTTCTCATGTCTTATTTTCATTTTCAAACTTGCTGCACGTGTGCTGGAAACTAAGCGCGCAATTTATTTAAATCAATATTATCGCGTTATTTTTCTGAATGTTAAGAAAAAATTGTTAATCATGTAATGCCATCATCCCTTGTGTCATACCATCATTATGTATTACAATCATATGTGTTTAATATAATTTGATGTTTGTTTTTTCCTCCTCAGTTGTTAGTAAAAATGAATGCGATGCAATCTGATAACTTAATGAAAATTATTCCAACAGTTTTTTGATGCGATTCATACATATTAGTTTGTGTATTTTCTTTCATCGTATTATTCTTGTACGATTCATTTCCATTATTTTTTTTTTCTCTCTCTCAACGTTTAACAAAGTGTGTTTCTGGAACTTAATTTTTAAAAATAATTTTGAGCATTTCTTGAAAAAAAAAATTTCTAGTTGTCTAGTCTATGCTACGGAATGCTTTAGTTCATATTGCGTTTGATTACTTTTCTATTATTAGTCACTATTTCTTCTTTCTTTCTTTTTTTTTTTTTTTTTTTTTTTTTTTTTGGAACACTGATTTATACAATATATTTTCTAGTGATAGCCCTTTTCATTTTTTAAATGTTGGTATTGAGCAAAATTTGTCATGATTTTAGCTATTTTTTAAAATGGTATTTAAAAATTAGGGCCCGCCCCCCATTTCATGGTGTTTCGAATATCTGAACAAAATCCACTCACGGTTATATTTTATTTAAATACATATAATATAAAACTTTTTAATCGTGTTCTTTAAAAATGATGGCGTTCTATCAAAAAATGAATGAAAAAAACATTTCTAGAGCGAAATAAAATTTTAAACTTCCGTGATTTCAGAATTTTTATTATTATTTATCTGTTTTATCAAATTAAAATTCTAGCTGAGCAAGTCAGTCGTTGTTAATTTTTTTTTTATTCCAAAGAGTGATCCTTTCCGATGAACAAGAAAAAGTACCTTTAAAATATAATTATGTAGAAAAAAAGAAAATTATTTGTTTTTGTATTTTTTTCAGCTATTTTACGACTTCCGCTCTTTCTTTACTCTTTTTTTTTTTTTTTTTTTTTTTTTTTTTTTNTTTTTTTTTGTTTTTTTTTTTTCTTTTTTTTTTAAATTTGAAATCTATGAATATAAAAGATGCAGTTTTAGTTAGTTATACCCATCATTTCAATTCATGTCAATATAATGCTTTTTGAAATGTATTGTTGTGTTTTTGTCGGAGAAAATAGTCACTTCGTTAAATCATGAAAAATTTTTGGAATGAGTCATATGTAGCAGATACTCTGTAAGAATTTTCAAAATTTAAAAAAGAAAGCCAAAATGATCGGCACATCGCCAAAAGGGAGCAACGCACTTTTTAGACGGTCTATTTCTGTTTTCACTTCGACTTGGGGGCTGCGTAGCGTAGTTTTAATAATTTTCTCAGGTGAATTATCCAATCCTTTTATCATTTATTAAGGGTGATTTTTAAAAAAATTCGCTCTTGGTCACGTGGAGCATCCAAAGCGCAGAAGTGTGTTTTTCTTCAAGGTCGACCCGGCTCCTATCGATCGTTCACTCTCGTACACTGCCTGTGGAGAGACCAGACATCTGCTATTATTTCTGTGATAGAAGTGTGTAAAATTTGAAAACATATTTATAGGATTCTTCAAATATTAGAATGAGTGTTCTTTGAATAAGCTGTCAGGGAATTAAACCCTGTTTCATGTCTGCTGCGCCAAAGGTAAATTCTGAGTACCTTGCATTTATTACTCCGTGTGTAACGAATCCAGTTTTAGTGGGTTGCTAAATTTGTTTATTTCGTTTAGTGTTGTATTTTCTTTTTGATATTCCTCTTACTATTCTTTTTTGATGATGATCTTTTATTAACATGATTAGTATTATTTTAAAATTATATAAAGAATGTATATTTAATATTTCCTTTGCTTTAAAATAGGTATTCTTTTTTTTAATATTCCATGCTATTCCACTTATGTGCAATAGGAACCAATACAGTCCTTTTTTTCATTCGTTTATTGTAAAATTATGCATTGCTTTGTAGTTTGATGAAAGGTCAATGGGTTAATAAAGAAAAATTATAGTTAACACCCTGCTAATTATGTTTTCTTAATTCAACTTTAACATTATGGGTCTTAGTAAATAGTATAATCTTCATTATATATATTCCCTGCTATAGTGAACGAAATGTTCGGTGTCGTGCTATGCACGTATGTTATTTTTTGTGGGTAGAGTGAACTAAAAAAGTGACTATGAACTTCGACTGATTATTTTTCTTCATTTTTTAAAAAAATAATTTTGAAATATCTACTTCGAAATAAATACTTATACTGATTTTTATGAAGCATTTTTTCTTATTTGCTACTTTCATCTCACTTTTCCATCCCTAAACAAAGGCAGGCATCAGCTAAAGATAACAGGACGAAGAGTAATAAAAAGCAAGATGGGTCATTTATTTAAATAATGTATGATATAAAAGGTTGTTAAAATTGTTTCGGGTATGGTGAACCGAAATTTCGGTCCTTTGAAGGTTCACTATAGCGGGCTGTGTGTATGAAAACATAGAAGATTAATTTTTCTTCTCTTTTTGCATTATTCTTTATTATCTTCCATGTTTTCTTTGAACTTATTTTATGACTTGCACCTTATGTGCAGTAAATAAAACCTTTCACTCTTTTTTTTTTTAATCCTTTTTATTAGTAGAAAGTTTAAGGTAACAATACTTTTTGAGTTTCATGTCATCAATTTCCTGCAAGATAACATTTTCAATGCTCATGATAGAGTTCTTGAATCATTATATTTCTTAGCTTATTTTTTTTTAATTAATTTTAGTCTGCAGAATAAACGTTCTCTGCTACAGAAAAGAAATTTTAATTCACTGGTGCTTGAAATGTTAATTCGAGAAATGTTTTTCTAGAGAGAAATCTGTAAAATTTATTACAGTAAAGCATTAATTCTTTGCAATGGAAATTTGAAAAATGAAAAAAAAAAAAAAAAAATTTACGAATGATTTATTTGTTTATGCTCTCTTAAGCGATATTTTAATTGACTCATCAATGTATCAACTCTAAATTTTGTAACCTTGTGATATAACATCGAATATAAAATTTCAAGAGCGAATTTCTTTGTGTGTATCTCGTGTTTTACTTCTCTGCCCAATACTTTATATCCATTAACTGATTCTTTCTTGTCAAGCAAATCATTGTCTGTGCCCTAATCTATTCCCATGTTCTAAAATAGGAGTGCATAACTTGGGGGGCCAATCAAGGACCACCGACTGCTTACGTGTGGCCCGCGGGAACTTCTGAACACAATAAAAACTTTCTTTTAATTTGGTTTTTGTTTAAACATAAAATAAAATATTTAATTCAAATTTATATTACTCTAAAATGCTTATATTATTTGTACTATCATTCTGAAAGCTTCTTTTTGGTTAGAATTTATTTATGTGTATATCAGGGTTGGGTTTTTGACGTCAAAAAGTGGTTTTTGGCACAAGGGTATAATACTGGTTTAAACCGTCAAAAACTGAAGTTTGCCAAGAAAATATATAAACTTCAAAACTACCAACAGTTACCATGCATTATATTGAAATTTAATTATACTGTAGGTAATTAGCAGGTTTTAAAATATTTTTTAATTAAAATTAAGGTAAAATAACGAATTTAAAATCTCAGAAATTTATATTCAAATGCATGTGCAGAAAAATTTTGCACAAAAATTGTTTAAATATTTATATTTTGAAAAAAAAAAAAATTTTTTTTGTGATACTTAAGAAAATTAAAAGTTTATTACTATGCATTTTTGACATATAAGGAACATATAACTAATATTTATAAGGAACTTACAAGTTATGTTGTATAAATACAAACTTGATACAAGTGTATGAAAAAAAATTTTAATGTTATACCGAATATCTTTATTATCCAGTATGTTAATTTGAATTTAAAAGTAGTTATATTTGTGAATAATGATAAATATAATTCATATTGTTTATTATATTTATTTATAATTATTACACTTATCATTTTAAAACAATTTTTATCTCTTAATTTTTTTTTCTCCACTTGTATTAAGAATACAAATAATGCATATCTTGAAAGCAAGAAGTAATTATTCAACAGCTGAATATTTAGATATTCAACAAAACTATATAGTATTCAGCAAAATGAAATTCACAAGTATTTGGATAAACTAAATTTTCAGCATAGTAAATGAATAGGCTGAATATACTGTAAATCGACACTAACTACTCTGTGTATTTAACAGAAAGCACTTAAATTTGTATTGTCTTATGTTAAAAAGATTATTAAGAAGATTTAAAAGAATATTAAAAAGATTTTTCTTTAAAAGAAGATGTCTAATGTACAAAACTGCTAATGTTTATCTTTAAAAATGTCTAATTTTTAGTATAATCTATACTATACACTAAATTTGGTTATAAATAAATTTCTTAATAATATCACTGCAGATTTTCAATAACACATGAAAATGAATACATAATATTACAAAAGATGTGAGCTTTCAAAAGTACAAGATTTTGGTTACTATTCAAGATATAAGTGTTTCTTCAAAATTTTAAATTTATTTTTTCTAGAACATATTTAGAAACACTATCCTTTATAAAAAATATATAAATTTTATGTATTAATTAAATTTCACATATGAATATAGGTTTTTGACATTTTCGACAGTGAGGTTTTTGACATGACGGTTTAAACGATGGTTTAAACCGTCAAAAACTGTCACATGTCAAAAACCTGCCAACCCTGGTGTATATGTATATATATATTTGATAAAATAATTATTTTGAAAAATGGAACAAAGTTTAATTTTCTGCAAATATGTTAAATTGACTGATAAAAACATTTAGTGCTTAGGACACTTAATATTTATTTAAAAATTATCATATTTGCCACTAACATCACTAAATATCCCTGCGGGCCCTTCACTCAAAACGGTTGTGCACCCCTGCTCTGAAACATTTGTAAGTTTCTCAAAATAACTGTTTCTGTTCTAGAAAAATTCTGATCCGTTATTAATCCGAAGGATACGTTCTTCTGTAAATTGTATCCAGAATCCCAAGATAGAGGTTTTGACATAGTCTGCAAAATTACTTATGGTGCATTATTCGTTTCGAGAGTTTTTCATATTCTGAACGATGCATTATTTGGGGTAAATGCTCGGAGGAAACAGATGGATTTTCATTTTTAATGTTTTGATTTTTACCTTCACTGTCAGAGTTTGATCAAGGTTTCCCATTCCATTTTGTTTATTTTCGTCTTTTAAAAAATGGTGTATGATATTTCAGCCATGATATTCATGATATTAAACCATGATATTTCAGCTATACTTAACTATTTCATTTACTATAGCATTATTTGTTTTAAGTATGTTCAGCTGTACCTTTTCCAGCAATTAAAATTAGTATAGTTAGACTAACTTCACGCAGTGGTTGTCTCTTAATGTATTGTGTGTAATATGTACAGATTAGAGCAGCAACCCTGGAAATGTAAAATATGAATTCAGTTATTTGGTAATAAACAATAATTTTGCATCTCTCAGTTGACGTTTTCCTATGATTATAATTTTCAAATCGATTGTTTAAATACTTGGCGATGAGCATTCGAATATACGAGTATAAAAACCTGAATTTATATTATGCGTAATTTTATCATATACAAGCAAATAACAATTATTAATGAGGTCATTTGAAAAGGAGTTTCTATTACCCTTCTAATTATTCCATCATCTGCAACTTGTGATGAGCCAATTAATGTTTCAGTCGTTAACGCCTTTTTTTTATAATTAGGTTAATGAATTAGTTAGATTAATAAAACTTAATGTAATGAGACTTTTCAGGGGCCCTATCAGAACTCAGGGCTCGAAAAACCACCCGTCCTCGGCGGCCAAAAATTTCCCGCGTATAACAAATCTCTCGAATCCGACGTCCGCGCGGACGGCCATTTTCACGTTAATGTTCGTGATATATTTTCAATTTTTGTTGTCTTACAAGAGTCTCGCGCCTCACTTCACCTTTCAACTAATTCNCCTCTAATCTAGAAATCCCGTACAGCAACATACTGCTCATGGTGGATTGATGTTTTCTCTGTCTGGGAATACTGCAGCCGTTGAAAGGGGCTTTTCAGCAACGAACTTACAAAAGAACACATTACGTAAGCGTTAAACACAATTATGAACATCCACCTAAATCGAAAACCCCTTTCAGATTTCTATGCAGAAACCTCTGTAAATCGCTGGCTTGATTGTGGAACTGGCAAACGTCACATTTGATTCATTTAAAAAACGCAGTACCCCCGGATAAATTGACAGTCCAGATAACTTGACCTTTGTCATTTAAATTATTTCATAAAAGAAATACTAGGTTTTGCTATTAGTAACCTAGTATTTCTTTTATTACTNAACTTGACCTTTGTCATTTATATTATTTCATAAAAGAAATACTAGGTTTTACTATTAGTAACCTAGTATTTCTTTTATTACTGTATGATGTAATCCTAGTAACTACTAATTCATTGTGCAATTTATATAAATGTTAGTAATAAATAAGAGAAAATTATATTTTTATTTATTTAGAAGCTACGGGTTAGTTTCAAAGGAGGACGGGTACATTGTTAGACAAGTCGTCCTCGGGGACGGATAAAATCTCTGAGTTTTTTCGAGCCCTGCCCTGGACCCATCTTTACAAACAGCGTCACAAAAGCGGGACCCACTTGAAATATATAACTCGTAGCCTACGGGCAAGCTTCCACTTGTTTCTTTTTTTTTTCTCCCAAAAATGGGCAAATTTATCCATAGGGTACCATCCAGGGTTGGGGTTTAAGACGTTCTTAACTGGTTTTAGACAGATCACTTGGGTTTTACTGTCTTAAAGTGTCCAAAATCTTGAACTTTGGTAAAAGGTAAAAATTCTATATTTGTAACCATTGTACACCACATAATAATTATATATATACTAATAAATATTTGATATTTTTTTTACAATTTGCTTTAACTTATTAAAGGAAAGTAATGTAAGAAAAGATTTATAACTTTGGAAGCTCAACAATTCATTGAATAACAAAACATTTAAAAATATGCTTTTAATACTGATAAAATTATGTTTTTTGCCATAAGGATAATGAATACAATATTAAAAATAATAAACTTTTTTAATAAAACAAAAACTTGTCTTCATTTTGTTTCTTGTTCAACAGTTAACCTTTTATTTTTTTAACAATTGTAAATAAGTTTTGGACATTTTAAGACAGTTTTGGACAGGACTACTGAATTTAGCCAGTTTCTCCTGGTTTTTGTACATTTTAGGAAATTCCCTAAAATTTAATAAGTTTCCTTAAAAAATCCCAATTGATATAGAATTTTTGTACAGATTATTACTTGCTTGTTTGAATATTTAAGTAAGTATTACTAATACATAATGACTCGAACCTTTTTTATAGACATCAGTTGAAAACTTCTTTTTTTTTTGTTACAAAATGTTCAGTTTATTTTATTTTGAACTCTCTTTTTAAGTGAATGAAAGAAATCTTATAACTATCTTTGATGAATTGAATGCCTATTCATTTTTGAAATGATGAGTATACATAACATTTCAAGTATGTTTAATGTCAATCATAACTGGGAAATATTGCTGTTTTTTCTATTTTGATGGCTATAAAATTCCCTATGTGTAAAATATTTAGTACATTATGCAACAATTATCATGAAATTTATTATTCTTCGTAAAATCTACTGGATTTTTTCCTATCCATGTTGGCTGCTATGGATAGGCACCGATTTCCAAATGATATGATTTTTGTGCCCTCAATTGAGAAACCTAACATGAATTAGTTGTTGCATAAAATTCTTTGCAAAAATTGAGGTAACTCCATTTTAAAAATCGCACATACAGTATTATAGCATTGTGTTCATTCATGAACTTTTTTGTAATTGTTTCATTCATGAACTACTTTTAAAGGTGTTGAGGTTATTGGAGGGGCACTCTTCTGGAAACTTGATTTTCTCTGATTGAACTAAAAGTACTACTATTGTAGTTTATTTCTTTTTTTAAGTGAATAGAGAGGCCTGCATTCATATCCTGCTTCAGATTAAGATCATTTCATCTTTAATCATTTTTCAAAAGTGCTTTGAGCAATGCGTGTTTGCTAGCCCTCCTGATATTATGCTTGAACAAGAAATTTCTTATGGAAAGTAACCCTGTGCAATTTTTGCTACATGAAATAGTTATGCAACGATCAAAATTTATCGATTCTATAAACAGAGATGATTGTGCTCCGGAAAAAATGCAGAATTTCAGGATTTTTCGCTATCCGGAAGTTTCCGGAAATCCAAGGTTTAGGAGTTTCAGGAAATCAACGATCACATTTATCCCTAAAAGTTCTTGTATATTTTATTTAGAAATATCAGAACTAGAATTTATACTTAGCATCTCATTCATTTGTAAATATTTTTTCTGGTAGAATAATAGATGTGATTGGAGATAAAAGTAAACTTTTGCATAATTATTCATTTAAATGATGCTGCTAATAATTTATTTTGAATTTCATGCTTTTAAAATATCAATGATTTAAATTTATGAAGATATAAATTTTTTGAAATGCATCATTAATGACTTTGCTCGAGAAATGCTCAGGATTTTTGAGTTGGGCTCACAATCACCCCTGGAATTGTCACTGTGACTTTATTAGAGTGCAGGCATGATTTTTAAATAACTATTTCACAACTGTTTCTGAAAGATTTATCTGGTTGCCCCTCCCCCCTGCATAGATATTTTTTTTAACTTTAAAAAAAAAAATGTGGGCTCCTGGCAAATATTAAGATGTTATACATAAGTTGCTTTTTTTATTGTCCAAGTTAAATGTCCTTTCTGTAATCCAGGCTGAAATAAAAATGGGATTATTGAAACGATGCAT